GAAGAAGTCAACACACATAAAAGCACAAAAGTGAACGCTGCGAAAAAATTCTTACGAGTTCCACAGTTTTTGAATCACTTCCTGAAGGAAACAAACATTAAGTTGACTGTCTAAAAGCGGTATTAAGTTACTTCACACCCATTCAAATCCGAGAACAGAGCACACCACCCCCAAAATCTCACACTAACAATTATGAATGTGCACAGACTTTTGCTTATTTTGATTGCCTCTGAGAGGGAGACAACGAGATGATGTCTCGCCATCTTCAGGACGATCTTGCGTTTTTTTTATTGCACCTGAAATCACAAAGAAATACCAAATAATTTATATGTAAATACTTTCTTTGTGTGCATTAGAGAGAGATTGAGAGAGAGAGAGAGAGGTACATTTCAAGGTGTTCAAAGCTTTGACATAGCTACATCCATCACATCCACAAGAAAATCTGCGAGGTGAGAGAATGAAGGGGTAATAAATGTAAGGGGAAGGGAGTATTCGCTCGAAGAAAGAAAAAAAAAAAATCAATGAGACCAGGAGTTCAAGTGATACCTGAATCTACTTTTGTGAAGCACAACGGAGGCGTGATTCTGAACACATTTGCATGGAAACCACCTTTCCCAATAAGAACTCCCATGTCTGAACAAATCACTTGATCAGTACTCTCAATTTCCTAATGGATTATGTGTGTGTGTGTGAGAGAGAGAGAGAGAGAACCCTTCATTTTGTCCATGAGATGCAGAGTCTCAGACTTGGCTGGGGTCTTCAACTGTCTATCCGTGACAAGGTCTACTCCAAGCATGAGGCCCCTTCCTCTCACATCTCCGATGACTGGAAAACCAGTCAAAAATTAAACAAAATTTTAATGATGGACTTTACCTGTACACATATGGCTAATGGTGCAGGCATATATAACTACAATAAAGGATGTGTGTGCATGTGTGTGTGTGAGAGAGAGAAAGAGAGAGAGAGAGAGAGAGAGAGAGAGAGAGATCTCCACTTGCTGTCATAATTTTTCTACAAATCGATAGATATCATACATTCTCATAAGCTTACTTTCATGTTTCTCTTGTAAAGCCTTCAAGCGGTCCTTCAAATAAGAGCCAACCACAAAAGCATTCTCTTGGAGCTTCTCTTTCTCGAGCACTCTCAAAACAGCCAGCCCTCCAGCAGTGCACATTGGGTTCCCACCGAAAGTATTGAAGTAACAACGTTGGTTCAATACCTGAGCAATCTCTGCAGTGGTGACCACCGCTCCCAAAGGAATCCCATTTCCAATTCCCTAAAGAACGAACAGAGAAAACACATAAATCATCTATGAAAACATCATTAATCTAGAGTGAGAACCAAAAAGAAAAATCTAGAGAGAGGGATCCGAAGACAGAAAGAGTGATAAGTGTACCAAATTTAGTTCAAACAAAAGAAAATTCAGTATATGGTTCATCGATGGTTCAAATATGAGCTCCTAAAATAAAGATGACCGATATTTGATGAGCAATATTCGTCTACATGTCACTTTTAGCTTATTCTTTACATCTGGACCACGGTTTCAGGCCAAAGTTCCTTGAGTCTATTGGAAAAGTAAAACCAACAGGCCAAATAAAGATGGTTGTCAAATGTACATAATTGTGCGTAAAAGCAGTACTTCCATTTTCCCCACTGGCATAAAAAGAGCAAAACAATAATAGATCTATAGACATTTGCCAATAGAGTATCAAATAAGTAAATAAAAGTACCTTTGCCATGGTGACAATGTCTGGAACCACACCATGGTCTTCAAATGACCAAAAGTGGCTCCCTGTACGTGCAAATCCTGCCTGTACCTCATCAGCTATACAAATACCCCCTGCTTTCCTGATGCTACTATATACAGAAGGCAAGTATCCTGGTGCTGATTCTACCATTCCACCAACACCCTACACAGACAATGCAGAATAATAAGTTCTAGGAAAGATTTTCAGATCTATTGCAAGTATTCAATGAACCAATTGACCATGAAACCAATATATGGAAAGCTACAGCCCATTTGAGTCATGATCGTCTGATGGAATGATGGATGGTTATGAAGATAGAAAACGTTCCACCATTATGATGTTAATATCCAGATCTGGTTGTCCCCTGTCCCTCCATTGCCATCCCTCATTTTTATTGGGATGGCATAGTCCATTGGACTATATAGTATTAGCATGCTTTCCCTAAAATAGAGGAGCATTGAAAGAGAAAGAAAAGGAGAAATAGGATATGGAGTAACAAATTGAGAGCATAACATACTTGTATGGCTTCTGATATAAAACCAGCAACACGTCCACAAGTTCCAAAGTCAATGAGATCTTGGACGTCTTTTGCATACTTCTCTCCATCAGACCCAAAAACTCCTCGGTATTGATCTGGATTCATTGCATGATGAATCCCACTCTGTCAAGGGGAAAAGGGGTGGGGGGGGGGGGGGAAGCATGAACACCAGATATAGAGCAAACAAGAAAGTATAGCAATTTGCAATCCACAAACCCCTTTTAACATAAGGTCCTACAAACTCAACTTCAAATTTAGTTACTTTATCTGCCAATAGATACATATATAGTGTGTATATGAAGCCAAAATTCACAATTCAAAGTATCATGGGACTTTGAAAGTCACTTCACATTGGTTCCCAGAACAATAACCACCCAAAAACTCGGAGAAATATATTATGCCTTTTTTTCCGATGGCCAGGAGAAAAATGTAAATTTTCTAGATCAATTCTTGAGCAGTTTGTACGAAACGAATCTACCACTGAATGTTGGAAGTAAATGCTATGCCTTTTTTTCCAATGGCTAGGAGAAAAATGTATATTTTCTAGATCAAATTATTGAGCAGTTTGTACGAAAAGAATCTACCATTGAATAGTTGGAAGTAAAGGCTATACACTGGAATAGTTCTAGAAAATCACAGGATTTTTCAACATAGTAAAGGAGATTTAACTTGAAATGCAAGTCAATTGAAAAGAAGACCTGAAGTATGTGGTTGATTTCTTAGAAAGACAAAAACTCGATAAGCAATGTAACAGCACAATTGAAAAAAGGTAAAAGAAACTAGGCTTGTCACCATGGGCATTTAAGATGCCCATTTCACTGAACCTTGAAGCTTCAATCTTTTTTTTTTGTTCCCGGTGTTGCAAACCTTGAAGCTCTTTTCAGTCTTTTTTTTTTGTTCCCAGTGTTGCATTATGTGCTTAAAAATGTAGTATAAAATGTAAGTATCATCCCTAAGAAAAGGTTGTCAAGGCATGGTGTGAGAAACCTTACACGATAATCCTGGTATTAAAGTACAAGAAGCTATTTTCTCTGAGAATATAGAGATGAACCTGTATGGTACCAAATTTCCAAGTGGATTGAGCTGTTGCACCCATTGTAGCTGATGCATTGCCATGGTAAGAATTCCTAACCGATATGATATCATGATGACCTGTGTAAAGCCGGGCAATCATCATTGCTAACTCATTTGCTTCAGTCCCTGAGTTTGTGAAGAAGACAACCTGGGAAACTCATACCATTTGAATCATACTAGTAGCCAATTCATACAATTCTTTGATATTAATTAATATACATGACAAAACAACTTAATATTTGTAAAAAAGATTGTAACCATTTGAAAAACAACTTAATATTTGCAAAAATTTGTAAATATGAATAATTTACAAAAGAATTTAACTTATCAAATAAAAAAAATCATGTTATACTGTTTATTTGATGGAAAGTGCTGACTAGGACCTTTAAACTTGGCTTTGAGCCCAAAATATCCAAATTACAAGTGAAGATAACTGTGACTTTATAGGGTCACACCCTGGCATTCAACAAACAACTTATTAGGTCCACCCCGGAAATCTCTACAGATTTATTTAAAATGAAGATGGTGAACTGTGACTTCAATATGAAATTACAATAATCCTTCAACTTGGAACTTTTCCTATTGATCACCCATTAATTTAAAAGTCACAAAAATTGCTTTAAGTGTCGATAACTGCCATTTGGATAGCTCGTTTACATACCTTGAGGTCACCAGGTAACTTAGAAGCTAATGCCTCAGAAAATTCAGTAATGGCATGATGAAGATAGACTATGGTAGAGTGCTGCAAAAGCCTTGCTTGCTTCACAATAGCTTCAACAATTTCGGGATGGCAATGCCCACAATTAACTGTTGCAATCCCCCCGAAAGCATCAAGATAACGGCATCCATTCTCATCAAACAAGTACTGCATCTTCCCTTCGACAATATTCAACTGTATGGAGATTTTACAAAGAAAAGAACAATTCATTTTAACAGAAAATGAGGAACGGTACATAAATATACTATACCCATTGGATATAAGATATAGGGTGTGGTTTGCATAAGGTTGCAACCTTAAACAATCCAATAAATACGCACTTCTAAATTTTTTCGCAAATCTAATTTTGATAAAAAAAATTCTTAAGATGGCTTGAGAATCTATTTTCATCGTTAATTATAAAAGTCTAAAACTCTAAAAATGGTTCAAATCAAGTGATCTATAAACATATGAAAATCTTGAAAATGGATGGTCCAGATAATGTGTTCAAAGATACACTATTTTGCGGACTCGAAATCTTTTTTTCTTTTCATATTCATACATCTCGATGTCGAGATGATCAATTAGAGGGTTTTCCAACATCAAACAACCTTGTATGATGGATTTTTGAGGTGCACCTTTAATTCTACATTTTAAGGTTGCAACCTTGTATAAAATTTTTCCTAAAATATATTTACTATTTTTGTTATTAGACTACTGTTATTTATAGAACAATTTTCATGTCAGTAGAGAAACTGAAAGAGCATAAAAAATAAAAAATTAAGTAAAAATATAGAGGATACTAAATTAAAGAAGTTCATATACAGGGCATTGATGGGATCCTCCCCATTGATAAGCATCCCACCTCATACACCATATTTGGGGTTGTGGGGGGACCCAAAGAAATTCCAAAAAGCCTTGCAATCAGTCTCCAAACAAGCGTTAACTTGGAGCTCCAATCCATCGTCCACATAAATGGACAGCGCAGATAAGGTTTCGGGGTGTTGGACTTGGATAATTTTTGGAGCACCAAGTGAATTTCTTTTTGTAGGAACCTTTTGGAGTGGAGACTGATTTGGGTCCTTTCCATGTACCCCACCACTCACCTCAAAAGTTATTTTCAAGAGAGATGGAAAAAATCATGCAAAAAAACTGAGAAAAAAAGCACCAGGCAGAAAAAAGGAAAATGAGGAAGGCAGTTATACTGAACCAGGAAAATAAGGAGACATGTAATAAGCAACCCAATAAAAGATTTCAATTGCCATGAAAGATGAGATCAAAGCAGATACACATATTTTTTTTATAAAAAGTCCATAAATATTAGGAACTTGGTTCTTTTCTTGACGATTTTTGAATTCACACACCCACAGCTTTGACTTGATCCAAATTTAAGACCCATGACTTGATTCAAAACAGCAAACAACTATATTATTCAAAGAATTATGATAATAAATCATGATATAAGAAAGAGAATGTTTCATCTCAAACACAAGTCTTTAACATCGGTGTAAAAATAATTGGTTATATCTATGGTTATTATGCCCAAAAGCAGCCCATATCAAATATCTCATCCCAAAATGACAAGGAGCTTTTTTCAAATGAACAAATGAAGACATCATTGATCGCTCGATATTACAAATTTTCAGCAACAAAAGAAGAAACCAGAGAAGCTAAAAAATGGCATTTTAAATAAGTAAAACAATCAAACTACAGGATTTGACTTAAACATGTGAAAAATAAACTGAAAATCGAAAAAACACAGACATTGATCATCAATTAAAAACCATTTTAAACAACAAAATTCCATTGCATATATGTGTCTATTCGCTTAACAATGAAGTAATAGGAACACATAAGTTCGTTATGGGGATTTTTTTGTTAAGCCAAATGATAATGGAACAATTAAATAAGTGAGAAAAAATAATAGGAGTAACTCTTTATACCACCTCGATTTTTGGAAAATTTCCAAGCAATAATAAACTAAAAGAAACTAAAAATGAAAGAAAAAATTCAAAATCTCGAACTTATATACCCAATAAACATGTGAAAAAAACGAAACTAAATCATTAAAAATAGGGGAGAAAAAAGAGATGATCAACTATGTCTCTCCCCTGATTAAACAGCTTCAAATCATTAAAAACAGGGGAGAAAAACGAGGTTATCAACTCAGTCTTCCCTGATTAAACAGCTTCCAATGCACGAAAAAGTTTTTTTTTAAAAAAAAAAAAGGAAAAAAAAGAAGAGAAGGAACAGAAAAACAAAAGGAAGAAGAAAAACCCACAGGCTTCCGGTAAAAATAGAACATGCAAGGGTTCAAAAACTCCTTCCTCTTCTGCAAAATCTCGGCCATTGAAGGGCCTTCGTAAGGTGTGGGTTTGTAATCGAACGGGGGCATTTCGGGAATCCTCGAAAAGTTTTGCTCGAGAGAGGCCAGAGGCTTCGAGTTGAGGACCCTTCGGCCATGAAACAGCCTTCTGCAAATCCTCTGCATTTTCATGGCAATGGAAAATTCCCTTTTTTCTGTCAAAAAAAAGATCCCTTTGCCCTTTTTTCTCAATTCCTAAATTCCTAAATTATTGGCAATGGAAAGATTTTTTCCTATGAAGCAGGAGAGGGAGAGAGCGGGAGGGGCTCGGAGAAGGCGGGGATGCCATTTATAGTACGAGGGAAGGCGGTCCATGTTTTTCTTTCCCCATTTTTCTCGCCATCTTGCTGGTAATTGTAGGGGTGGCAAAAGTGGTATGGGACCCGCACCTAGACCCAAATTCACCACAGCCAAACCCGGACCCGCAAATATACTGTGGACCCAGATGAGGATTCGAATCCGGATCCAGAAATGTTTTCGAGGATCTGTACCCCGACCCGACCCGTGGAGTCCAATCAATTGCCCCTCTTATTTAAAAAACATTGCTAAAGTCATAGGGCGCAGTTCGTATAGAGCCAATGCTCTAAACAATCAAATTAGAGCCCACCTTCAAATAGCAGAGAAATATTGTGTCAATATTAAAAATCTTTGTCTTTACAGAAAATAAATGATATTTAAAATCAAATTTTTTATTATTAGGATTGTTAATAAGAAACACATTAATGCACCATGATATTTTAGATAATTGTGTCCTATGAATTGAAATTTAGTTTTCGTTTATTATGACAAATTCTATTTCCGGATAGTAACTTTGTTAATATCGTGGTGAATGAATTTGCATGATATTTTAAGACTTGACATGCAATTTGAAAAAAAGATTAGGAATTTGAATTTGAAAAGAAGTAACTCGTTTGCTTAAAGAGTTATTTACTGGTAATGAAATTGAAATTATAAGTTGAATAATGATTTTTTATGATTAAATTTGACATATATTAGAAATTATTATAAACTTTGTCATTTCACTATGATATACTTTACCTTTGTTATTAGGAAGTCACAGTTACTCCTAACTATTAGATGTCAAATTAGGTGGGGATGCCAGAGTTTTATCTGTCTTATAAAAAATAAATAAAAGATGATACACTTATAATTATTTTACAATCCATGCAAGGGGGACATTAGCAGCAGCACACAAAGTAAAGGATATAAGTAATGTGGGGGACGAGCACGTCACTGCATTGCTTCTCTTGGAATCCGCTATTTTAGACGGACAATTGGTTACTATGTTGGCCTCCCTAAAAATATATAAATTTGCCACTAATGATCACCAAAGGAGGTGAGATTTACCTTGCAATTGACCGAGACTATGCATAGCTTTTGGCTCATATCGTTGGTCCAAGGATTTAGCTTCTGGCTCATATCGTTGGCCCAAGGATTCGACGAGAAGTTTGGAGTCACTCCCAATGATTAGGAGCCTTCAGTCGAGTTCCTTTGCAAAGAGATGTTTAAGTTCAAATTACATGAAATTTAGCAACACTATTGGAGAGGGAATCCAAAGGCACCAATAAAACCATTTTATTTTTTATATTAGTGTTTTTAGAGGTGGTTTTATTGAGTCTTGTCCAAATAACAAAAGAATCCTAGTGCAGTTTGCCAAGGCTACCCATGAAGGTGTCCCTTGCCTTATTTGGGATGGTGAGTGGGTTTCTTGATATTTATATGACCTTTTGGATTTGTGTTTCAGGTATCCAATCAACTACATTCATGAAAATGGAATAAATGGCCTCCAAAAATAGAACTAGGCAATAAAGGAAAGGGTATTGACTCACCTCCAAATGGAAAAAATTGTATTGGATTGAAGATTTGCAAATCCAACCTCTTAATTTTACTGTATTGGATTGTAAATTTGCAAATCTAACCTTTTAATTTCATTGTATTGGATTTTAGATTTAATTTTAAAATCATGACTTTAGATAAAGTCATGCTATATTTCAAAACCCACCGATTCTGATCAAGAATTGGTAGGAACCAACCTGGTTCTCTATTAGAATTGGAAACTGGGGTGGTGCCCTTGTAAACTGCTTGTCTGGGAACCGTTGATCTTGTTAACGAAT